TTATGAGCCAGTTGGTCAATTCATCAGAAGCAATAAAGCTGCGGAAGTGACGGTGATAATCCCACTGCAACTCGGCCCAAATTCACATTCCAGATGACTGCAGCAAGAACAGAACATGCAAAGACACTATCAAATTAATAAAGCTGGCTGACGGGCACTGACCAGATGACATGCTCTTTGGAAATGGAGACTTCATACTTTCTGCTTTTAACAAGATTTCATTATGTTGCTAACAGGGCTGCATGATTATTCATTTTGTAGCTCTGACTGGGGCCCCTGTGGATGTTACTTAGAAAAATTAACGTGAACCCGCTGACAAAAAGTTTGGCATTAATGCCTGTAAATGTGAACATAGCCAAAAGCTCCATTTTCCTCGCTAAGCTGTTTTAAGCAATGGCAGGAATGTGATGAGCTGTAGACAGGAAGAGAAAACTGATTCATAAACAAATTCAACATGTTTGACATTGTGAAAGATTCTGTGACCTCCTGCAACTGCTTTTCAAATGTTACACTTACCCTATACAACTAGTGCCGATTTGAGGCAGAAATAAATAACTGAGTTTACTATTTGTGGTTATTGGTTAACGCAACTTAGCAAGAAAAAGGGAGCACTTAGTGTGATGCAAGGCATCTCACTGCTAATGCAAACATGGTAGAATCATTGTCGCATGAGATCGCACGGGGTCTAAATCACGCTCAAAACATGATTTATTGTGCAGCACTCATTGCTAATGACAACGGTGAGGGGTAGTTGAGAGGGTACAGACAGGACACAGTTCCTATGAAGGAAACCCTCTGAAACAGAAGCACATCTGTGCGTTGCTCCTCTAGCAGGCACTTCCATGTCATGGCCGCCTGGCCCAGGGACCCACTTTAAAATTTCCTCCCAGAACCAAGGACTTTCCGTAGTGGGACATCCTCCCAGCCGTAGGAGTGGAGGGGGTCACTGAAGGGCTGAGAATAGACTGGGATTTGGAGATCAACAGCTGTTCTTTGGACTGTCCCACCAGATCATTCTGAGGTCAAGCATGAAGTAAAGCATTTTATCATACAACTCTGTCCCCTACAGGTTTTAATTCAAGTTGTAAACAAGACCTCATCTGTCAGTGTTTACAACATAATGCTAGATCAACCATTTTTACAACACCATTGAGTGTCAGTCAGATGTTATTGTGAAGCTGACAAAGACTAACGAAGGGATTACACAGCTTAACCTGCACCAAATCATCTCCGCTCATCAAAAACAACTGGCTGAGCTCACGAGCTCATCTAGCGAAACTCAAACTTCAAAGCTGCACACCACAAACAAACGACGCAGATTTGGGAGGAAAAAAAATGTTAGGTTATTTTCTATGATCTTGATGAAGAGGAGAATCAAACCCTACTGTGTATCACATTCTCAAGAGAAAAGATTATCAGAGTAATGTCCAAGTAATAAGAGTCAGGCTGGGGCCAGGCTCCACCCTCAGAGAGCAAGTCGGTTACATTATAACTCACATTTAAAGACTGCTGCTAGATCCACTGTGGACTTTATTATTTCATATACTGTGTATGCCTGGGTGGGAACAGGATGGCAGACTGTAGAAAAAGACATTTCTGCTGTTATAGAATTATTGATGCAGACTTCAATCACTATTAGCCCAAATTATCAGGTTGAACGTTGTGCAATTACAGTCAGAATGTCTTCAGTTGTAACTAAAAGCATGTTGTGATGAGTCAACGCGAGCAGCTTCATTCATGTTTCCAGCCCGTGAGTTTCCGTTGTGTTTTGGTTACTCGTGCTGCTAACGTAGCCTACTCTACCTTAGCACTATTTTTACCACCGGTGTGTGGGCACTGATTGATAAAGATAAAAAAAAAAAAAAAAAAACACCACTGAACGTCTCGATCGACCTCTTACTAGATGATACCGTCTGCTGCAGTCGGGGCGAAAACAAAAAAGGTCCCACACAGCTTCAGTTAGAAGCTCATGACCAGGTACAAGGTCTGAAGAGACTCACGTGAAATCAGACAGAAGCCAGTCAGTTGAGTTTGTGGCAAAACCTGTTACATATTGTCATCTTTTACTGCATATGTTAATTCATATTCAGAAAGTAGAAGTGAAGTGACATTCATTACAAGATGATTAGTCAAAACTTTTCAAAATGCACCTGCATAGTTTTGCATTTTGTGTCTTTCAGTGGAATAAAACACCATTTTTCCAATCGTATATTGTCACTGAAGATATCTTTAAAATAGTGTTAAAATAGTCGTGTGTCGTTGTCATGAACCCAAGTCCCATCCTGTGAGCTAAGTGTATCTGCAGGGCTGGAACCAGACTATTTTCTGTCGATCAACTAACTCTCAGCGGTAACTTCAACATCAATGTTATCATTCAAAGACACACACACACAGCTACTCAGCCCAGTTTGGATCAATTAATCTCACACTAAATTAGGAGACACCCTTTGTAAATAGAAGTGCATCATTTTTATGTCTGGATGACTTCTAGAACAAATAGATGAAAAGGGAATTATTTGAATATGATGCTGTGTCTTTGCTCTACTAGTCCTATTAGCACAGAGAGTAAACATCCTGACTACAGTGACACACAGGTATAAACAGCCTGAACTAACTGAAAAATGGTGTCGTTGAAGGACTACAGCTAAGCAAAATAAAGAGAGTGCACTTCATTAATGCCAGAACATAACATGTCTATTAGTCCTTTCCTGAAACGTCACCCGACTCTGGAGTAGTCCCAGCGGGAGCGTATGACCAGGTTCTGTTGTCCTATTCTGATGAGCGACAGGCTAGCACAGACCTAATGAGGCTGAGCAGACTGGACATTTGATATGCCTCGCTATTTTGGACACACTTTCAATCAAGAGCAAAAACATGACGCATGGTTTAGCCACAGTCACATATGTAAGGTATGACATGCAAGCCCTCTGAAAAGCCCGTGTCCTCCTGAAAGAGGATCCCGTGTATCAGTTTATACAAACATGGCAGAGCATCAAGTCTTCTGTGAGCAACAGGGAACACCAGAGCTCGCCGTAAGACTCTGTGTTTTCTCCTGGTTGAGGTCCATGTGGCTGCAAACACTGAGGCTGGAGAAAGGCTGACAGGTAACCTCCCTACCATAAGTCACAGGCAAATAAAACTAAGGTGGCAACAAATGATTATCTCATTACCTAATTGTTCAGTATGGCAGTGTATAGCTGCCACCATGGGAAAAAAAAATTAGCTCAGTATTTCATGATACTTTTCAGGTTAAAAGGTGATATTGTTCACATTATAATGAGACGCTGTATTTTCTCAATCCTCTCATCCGAGCAGCTGGAACCAGAATGTTTAATTAAAGGTTTGAGGTTGGAAAAAAAAAGACTTTTTAAAGCAAAATTGAACACAAGATACAGTCACTCATTTAAAAATGCCCTCCTGGAGCAGTCTCACAAATCTACAGCTTTGGAAGAAAAATCCCCATGATGACAAGAGGTCAGAGGAGAATGGCAAGACTTGCTAAAGCTAACAGGTACAACAGACCACAGACCTGCAAATAACAGACCAGCACAACAGTAGTGTACAGTGCAGTATGACAGCACAAGGAATGACAGCAACAGCAGCATTAATATTTCCACTCATGTCAGCAAAGGGTAAGGCTGAATCTGTAGAAGGGGGAATGAAAAAATACACAGGCTTTAAAATAAAATCCAGGCCTCTCATTAGGTGCATAATCTTGCCTGGTATCAACGGTACAGATTTGGTAGTGGTGTAAATGGTGCAAAGAAAGTAAAGAGCTTAAATATCATTGCTGCATAATCTGAACGCACCAATGTTTCCTAAAGGCTGCTGCTAATCAGCTGAATCCTTTTATGACCTTTTGACAGTGTGAAGTGTAAACTTAAGTGTTGAACTCAATATCACTGTGACATTTTTAATATTCTACAGGTTGCCGTGCATGACATCAGACTACACTTTTAAAATGAATAAAACCAAAACCTTAAATAGCAATACAATGTATGGCTATCTGAACCTCAAGTTGCTCTCAATGGCCAGCACAGTGCCTTGCAGGGACCACGGCACCATCAGTGTGTGTGAGAGAGAGGGAGAGAGAGAGAGAGAGGGAGGGAGAGCCAAAACTGACATCTTCAAAATATCCTGTTTTGTACAACTGCCAAAACCCAAAGAGATAATTGTTGCAACTTTACACAGTATGAAAGAGAATGTGCAGTTGCAGTTGACTGTTTCCCAGCCCTAAACATGCCACTAAAAGTCTGCCTTGCCTGCCTGATACAATGCCATCTGCATGAACAAAGTTCCCTAAGTAGGCCCAGTGTGACAGCACCTTGCTGAACCTCTGCCTTCAAGAATTAGAAGTAAGTCTGCCTGAAGGTTTTCCAGGTCGAAAAACCTGCTGTGTGAAAGTCCAGCAGTGCTGCAGCACTACAGCATTGATACTACTGGATACAATGGACTGAAATTCTTTCAGTATGTTGTTTTACAATAGAGTTAGACTGCTTAAACAATTATAAAACTAAGCATATTGAGGTTAAAGGACATTTCAACAAGGCATCTTGGAGAAAGTCCACTTTTGAGGACTGTGTTGTGCAGCAAAGCACTGGGAACCTTACAAACACACCCAGCCCACAAGACTAGAGTTCAAACCGATAACCTAATCATTGTTAACGCAGCTGAGGCGTGGAGCTGTGAGCAAACAGCGCAGGAAGGTGTTAAAATACCTCAGTCCTCTGCTTTAGAGACATTTTCTCTGTTAACCTCGAGTACCTTTCTTCAGATTATGTATCATCTGGTCTTCATGACAGCCTCTCGTTTTATTTGATGATTACGTTAATGTGCACTGTTGCCTTACGCAGGCTGTTCCCCACTAAATGGGAAGAACAATCCCTGGCAAAAGGAGGAAGAAGTTACAACAGTGGACAACTCAAGACTTAAGACTTTTCCCAAGAAAACACGATTTTAGTGGCTGAACGCGTAGAATGTTCTTACAAAAGCTAACTTACGCTTCGTTGCATTGATGAGGTTCTTTCCATCCTTGTACAGCTCTTTAATGAACCTGTTAGTCTTGTCCAGCTCCGCTTCGTGTGCCTTTATTTTGTCCCTGAAGCCTGGGCTGTCCAGGTAGCATTCACTAAACTCTAGCGGGTGTAGTCCCATTTTTTTCTCTGACAGATAGCTTCGCTTTCAAACGCGGGAAACTAGCAACAGTGCCGCTTACTTTACAACTACAAATATAGCCTTTAAAATGAATTCACCACTCCTTTCGCTGGACGTTTTAAGTCTAGGAGAAAAAACATAGCTACATCAAGTAGCTGCAGCTAACGGTGTTAGCATGGTAATTTCTTCTGGCACGAGCGCATGGGTGTTGTTCAAAAAACGTCAAGAGTAGCGAACAGGGATAACGGTTAAAGAGGAATTTAAAAAATACGCTACTGGGTGAAGTATTCATCGGAAGTAGGTTCACGGGAGTTGTGAGAAAGTCATAGAGGCTGTACCCAATTTTCCGCACCACTTAAACGTACGGTACCAACAGAGTGACAGAACGACAAACTCTGCTGACATCTGTGTGCGTGTAGCGAAACTTCTACCAAAGAGTAGCAGGTTTATAAGATGGTTTAGTCATAGCTACTTCCGCCTTTGCTTCTCTGAGTTTCTTCTTCTTCTGTTTTTTAATGGCGGTTGGCAACCAGCTTTATTCTCTGAGTTTAGATTTGTTAGAATCAGAATCAGCTTTATTGGCCAGATTTGTCAGACACACGAGGAATTTGACTCTGGTACATCGGCTCTCATTGTGCATGTACATATCCCCATGCAAGGGGCAAGTAAACAGTAAACCAACATAAGGCTAGTATGACAAAATAAGCAGTATTAACAGGCAGTAAACAATGCAGACAGACAAAGGAATGCTTATTGTGAAACGAGGTGAATAGGAATAAAAATAGAGTACTTAAAAATAGAGACCTGTACGGATCTGTATAATCTGTACAATGTATATATACAGGTATTGCACTGAAGGTTATTGTCCAGTCATACTGTCATGGGTCAAGTGTTCATCAGAGTGACAGCCTGGGGGAAGAAACTGTCCCTGTGCCTGGTTGTCTTGGTGCACAGTGACCTGTAACGCCGTCCAGAGGGGAGGAGTTCAAACAGATTGTGTCCCGGGTGTGAGGGCTTTGCAGTGAGGTGTACAGGTCCTCCATGGAGACTATTTGCTCAATTACTGTGAAATTAATGAATGTGAATTACCAATAAGTGAATCACTGTAATGTTGTGAGCTATATTTTACTTGATTATTTTTCATTTTATCTTACCTGATGACATATAGACGTTTATCTGACAGGTGAGGTTGCTAATTACTTTTCAGATCAAGATTTTACATATAAAACACAAAATATTCTGAAAAATTTTGTTTTTACTACACAACAGTAGAAAGCAGTACAAATTTGCTCCAACTCTATTACGGTAACATTAACAAAGTCAGTCAAACAATAAATAATTATATAATCCCCAAAAGGTAATGAGTTGTGCAGTACAAACTGATATATCAAAAAATTCTGATCAATTAAATGCAGTTTTAATTGTAATCCAGTATTTTTACCCTGTGTTGCACTGTTTTACACTATATTGCTACTTTTACTTAAATAAATAATATGAACACTGTACTTGTTCTACCACTTGGAAGAAGTAATCTTTTTTCATGTTGTTTGAAGTAAAAGTAATGATAAGATACTGTAAAACTACTTTCAAGGCAAGATTTTACTTAAGCAAAAGTGCAAAGTGCCAAAAGTATAACTACTTGGTGTGCAAAAGAACTGGCCAGTGAGATTATTATATTATTACTTAGTATTTTTTGTTATTTAAGTGTAACTACTTTATATATTGTGATTTAATTGTTAACAGTGCATATTAGCATCTTGTGTTTTATACATAATTTTTAAGCTGCAGTGCAGATGGCAAGACAAAGGAGATACCACAAAGAAGCAGATCATTCAATAGCTTTAGTGTCACACCAAGGGTCAGTCCATATTAATAAACAGCACTGCATAAATATCCAGAGCACCAGTTAACCAGTTACTAACAGTGGACTGCCAACACTGCACCAGGCAGGACAACGACTAAGAAATAATCTGCCTCTCCACAACATGAAAACTCCCCTCAAGACATAGTGAAGTAGTACCATACAAACTACTACTACAGTAACACCATGTAATCCAAATGAGTACAGTTTGGAGTACATACAGGAAAGTCTGTGACTCAGCATTGCCCTTATGGAGCCCTCAGTTACTATTACAAGGTCAACAAACAAGGTCAAACATCAAGAGTTTCAGAAGCCAACCCTAAATCACACACAACCCAAGCAACTATGAAGTGCCTCAAATAAGTAATGTAAAAACATTTACTTGTGTAAAAATACCAATACAACAGTTAAAGAAAAAAACCCTCTATTACAAGTTGATGTCCTGCATAAAAGTGTATTCGAGTTAATGTAAGCTACATAAGTACTTGGTCCACAATATTATATATTATATAATAAAATTATTAATATATATTATACTGCTGTGGCTGCTTGACGTGGAGCTAGTTTTAACTACTTTATATACAGTTACAGGGACCCTCCAAAGGGTCGCCTAATAAATCTGGTGTCCTTTATGTTCTAACATATAACTATCTTGATCTTTTGTACTCTTTGATTTTGCCTTGTTGAGTTGTCTATTATTGGTTTCTCTAGAGGCAAACTTACTCTAAATAGCATCACCTTTAATCCAGTTTGTAAATAAGTACGAAATCTATTTATCACATTGCCTCTTGCAGTGAATGAGACCTGATCGTGATTGCATATATTTTAAACTAAATTATAATTGCCTTCTTGGAACCTTGTGTCGTTACATGTTTCTTTCCGAGTTGTTTAGCACACGGACGCTTTTTTATGTATAGCGGTGGTTGAATCGTGGTTCTTTAGTGCAACACTGAGTGCCAAACGGAGTATACAGTTTTATCATAGCGTGAAGATAAACAGACATGGTAGTTTTTGACACACGGGTGGTTATCGTGGTGACTGACAGAACGGCTTTAATAACGTTAGACTGCTGCGATGCGCTGCTAACGACTTTATCCAACACTGTGTTAACGTGTTTGCTAGATTAGCAACGCCACCCTGCTTAAACACCACTAATCCTCTCCGCGTAAACTCCACCCCACACCTCAGCCTGTCTTCTAAATCAGCACGCAGTAAGTCAACGTTCACACTCGGCGATGGTGTTTTTTAGTAGAGTAACTTCCTTTATGTGCATTATCATTTAATGTACCCATTACTTTCTTGATTAAAACCTGTGAAAATGTCTTTCCCAAAGAGACATCTTCACATCCATCCAACAGTTGGATAAACCCCCCCAAAATAATCAGTTTACAATAATGTTAAAATAAAGGAAATTAGCTAAATTCCATATTTGAGAACCTGGAACCACCACCAACTTGTCATTTTTGCTGAAAAACTACTTAAAAGATTCATCTTTTATCATAGTTATTATTTTTCTGTTAGATTATTCAGCTAATCGTGGGAGCTTGGGATCTTACTGTGTAATTGCAAATAGCTTTAATCTTTAATCTCCCCACCCTGTGCCTTTCTTTTGTGCAAGGGATGCCTAATGCCAGTGCAAGGCCGAAGCATGGCAGGAGGACCCGAAGACGACGCAGAGAGGACCCTGCCAGGAACGAGCTGGTCTCTAGTTCCCTAGAAAGCGCCCAGCAGTGCCTGTTCCGCCAAGATTATGGGACTGCGTTTGTGCACTACCTTCTGGTCCTCAACATCGCACCAGTGTTTAAGGAGTTTGCGAGGGTAATGACTATTTACACTGCTCTGAAAACCAGACTGTGTACGTTCACTGCCAATTATTGTGCACACGTAACACAAAACCACAGTTACACGGTCATAAGCTGTGTCCAAAGTCACTCCCTCATTCACTCCTTCACTATTTTCTATATAATAGACATATAGTAGTTCATTTTTTGAATGTGTAAAATGTGGAGCATTGCAATGTGGACTTGTTAGCAACTGGTGTTCTGCCTCACTCAGTCGAAACTGTGTAGTCACTGCTGCAGAATGAAAAGCTGTTAAATGTTCGAACCCAATTTTGTGACATCTCCCTTTCAGGAGTCCTTCAGGTTCACCCTCTTCAAGTGGACTGAAGAGCTGGACTCTGTGGGCCGCATTCAGGACCTTTTTGACTGCTATGAACAAGCACTCGAACTTTTCCCTGCTGATGAAGTCATCCTAAACAGCATGGGCGAACACCTCTTCAGGTACTCCTCCACATCTCTCTATCGGATGTCCTCTTACCATATCCTATTCCTGTACTTTCAAGGCATAGTGTAGCTTTACATTATTTAGATGAATTATCTGCTCATACTCTTTTTGAGGATACTTCGCCTCTCCTTTTGTTACCCAGGATGGGATTTAGAGATGAAGCCGCAGGTCATTTCCACAAAGCCTTGAAGCTGAGACCAGACTATCCAGAAGCCAGGGAGAACTTCTACCGTGTGGCCAACTGGCTGGTGGAGCGCTGGCATTTTCTAATGCTTAATGACCATGGGAGGAACCGGAAGTACCAACAAGCCATTCAGAAGGCTGTTCAGAGCGGCTGCAACACTGTACTTGACATAGGTACTGGCACTGGGATCCTCGGGTGAGATATTTTCCATGAGGCTTTGGAAACTTTTTTTGTGTGTGCGTTTTGTATAAAAGTTAGAACTTGCCCCTCAAGCAGCAGCCTACCTGTGAAGAACAGGACCTATGTTTTAACACATGTTCTGATTTCCTGGTTCTGTCTGTTAAGCATGTGCGCTAAGAAGGCGGGGGCGGCCGAGGTGTATGCCTGTGAGCTGTCAAAGACAATGTATGAACTGGCCTGTGAGGTGGTGACTGCTAATGGCATGGATGGCAGCATTAAGATCCTCCATATGAAATCTCTGGATATGGAGGTGCCAAAGGACATCCCACACAGGTGCAGTTTACATGTAAATTCTTTAAGCCTCCATCCGTGTTTGTGTTGTCTTGAATATTTTGGATTAAGGAAGTCATTTTTAAGTTTTTTTTCATTTAATGTATTGTTTTTGGTCCCTTGTTAGGGTGTCATTGGTGGTGACAGAAACTGTAGATGCTGGATTGTTTGGAGAGGGCATTATAGAGAGCCTTATACATGCCTGGCACCACCTCCTGCTGCCTCCACAGGTAACTTCACTTATTAAACAAAAGGCAGGAACCAGAATTTTGTCCTCCTGTTGGCACAATGCACTGTTAACATTTCTTAGATTTTGTTTTGTTTTGGCATGCTACACCTACTGCTGTTTACCGGTGGCACACAGGGTTCCCATGGTCACTAATGTCCTAAAAAGTGACTGTAAAAATTTCATGAATTTGTTGAATATTAAATCTTTGAAAAACAAAATTGTGAACAATGATGCCAGAACTGTGTCACAATTAAGGGTAAGGGCTTGAAGGACCCGAAGAACAGGCACTGAAATGTTTTAATATTGCAGAAAAGAAAACTTAATATGGATTTAAGGCTCCTAAAGTCAAAGGTTTCAAATAATATTCAGTATTTATTCAAATACATCAGGCAAGTTCTGTCATATGTGAGTTTATGGTAAGAGTTTCACTCATTTAACACCTACAGTACAGTAACTGGCAAATAGTGTAGCTGCCAGTTAGCCTGTTAACTTTCATTGTGTGTTGGTGCCATTAGGGGGCTTAATGTGAATTATCATTAAAGTCGCATATTCCTTGTCCTAAAGAAAGGTGAGAGTGAATCCAGGGAACAATGTGCAACAGGACGGGTCATCCCTGCTGGAGCCACTGTGTTTGCTATGGCCGTCGAGTGCCTCGAGATCCGCCGGCATCACAGGTAGGCCTTGGAGTCATTAAACGGGACGAAGCAGAATAGGGTTAGAGGTCCGAGTGAGAGAGCCAGAGAGTGAATGAGGAGAGAGAGCGGCACAGTAAGACCAAAGTGAATCAGAGAATTGAGACATTATGGAGTGGTTGTTTCACTGGGGTTATGTTCTAAAGCACAGTTAAACACAGCTACACATCTGTACAACCCTGTGGGAAGGATTTTATGTGAATGCAGCCAAAACACACACTTCTGTCAGTGCTGCTGTGTGCACCCTGTGTGTATGCAGCCCTGCCCTCAAACACACACAGACCTGAAACTTGATGCTTCTAGTAGGTTACTGTAATTCCCGATTTCCATTAACATATCAAACAAAATCAGATAACAGCCTGTTTTTTTTTTTTTGTTTGTTTTCAAATTGGCCTTGAAGTACACACGCAGTCAGACGTCATGATAAGCATCACACCTCTAGTTCCGGGATTCTGGCAGCTGTGTAAAAAGGCTATAAAAGAGGGTGCTGTAAATTTCTGAGAGTAGGCCGTGTATCAGATAAAATGTTTTACTGCAGTGGTGAAATTATATGTTACTTTCTTAGTTTTGCTTACTCATGACTGTTCAAAGTCAAACAGAAAATCTCTATTTATTCCGAAGCATGGGTACAAAGTTTCTGGACCGAGCATTGAATCTCTGTTTATGTTTTGTACAGGCTGTGTGTGTCAGAAGTTGGCAGTCTGTCCATGGCTACAGCCGGAGAGCTCCGTAGCCCAGTGAGCTGCAGCTCTGAGCCAGATGACTCCATGGAGCCATACACTACAGAGAGACTCAGCAGATTGCCGGGAGGATATAAACCTCTCACAGAGCCCTTCACAGCCCTCACCATAGATTTCAATAACGTGCAGGTGAGCAGGAACGTCCCTGATAGCCAGCGCTGATAAACTGTGTGTGGGCTACATTCAGAAGTGATCTTTCCAATAGACTTCTATGTGTGTAACCGACTAACCTATCATCTGCTCGCCATAATAATCAGCTGTTAATTGAATACATTTTGATCTGTCAGCCGCCACCAGAAGGCTAATTTGCTGAAGATGTATCCACACAAGCTGTGTCATTTAGGGTGGATTTGAAAGTGTTGGAGAGGGCAGTGTTTGCTTTGGCCTACTCTAACACACAGCACTGAGCTCTGTCTGACAGAGTTGGGAGCTTATTTGTTTATTTAACAGGGACAATGCATATTAATTACATTTCTGTCAATACACCAGAGTTAGCCAAAGTGGCACATTTTCATCTGTAGTCCAGAGATGTGTATTAGTGCACCTGCCGCTGCAACACTGATGATATGTTCTTCTTATCAGGCCAGATGAAAATATGTGGTCTCTAATCTACTGATATAAAAATGTAAGACTGCTGTTCACACAACAAATGAAATCCAGTGTAGACCATGATGCAGCGCTCCTCAGCAAGAAAGTTGTTGGGATGTAAAAGCCATAAGACCTACTGTTACAAAACAAGGCTTGTTAGTATTAAATCAATTTTTTTCTGCACCCACTTTAAAAAAAAAAAGCTGTGAAACTTTAGCTTTAACTGGTCTGTACTGGTAACCTGTAGGAACTGGAAGGCCTGAGCTCCAGGGAGGTCCAGCGGGTCCGTCTGCCTGTCACTCAGGAGGGGGAGCTGGATGCTCTGGCCGTGTGGTTCCAACTCCACCTAGATGAGGAGAGCTCTCTGTCTACTGGACCGCAAGAGGACACGTGCTGGGAGCAAGCCATCTACCCTGTTCACAGCACCAAGGGTAAGATACTGACAGATACAGGGAATTTTCCTTCAATCATGTCTAGTTGTTTCAAATTCCTATGAGTCAGACATGTTTATTAAACTGTTTTATCTGCTGCTCAGCTTATGTTCCTAATGTATAACAGTATAGGAGATACAGTATAGTATAATGTTTTTCTGCATTGAGTGGCCTACTTCTACTTTTAAACTTTTAAGCACATTTTCATGATAATATTTAATTTTACTTAACATTTTCAACACTGGACCTTTACTTGTAACAGAATAGGCAACCTTTACAGTGTGATAGTAGTACTTTTACTTCAGTAAAGGATGTGAATACTACCAGGACTAACATACAAACTAATTAGCTTTATTTCTACTTGCATGCTTTTTTTTTTTTACTATGTTTATGGCTTATATTTATTTTTAAGGGTCAATCTAGTGCTGCAATCCAGTTCAATCCACTGTCACAGTCACTTATAATAAAAAACGACCCTTTCGTTTTCATTCCTTTAAGGGTTGTTGTAGCTGATGATAATAGTAATTGTGTAATACTGTGACGCCGTGATACTTTCTGAGACAGTTAACATACCAGGAAAATCTTATACTGTTGCAACCCTGATTCTTAGCATTAAGCTTATGGTGCCAGACATCCCTAAGAACACTGTGTACTCTTTACATGCCACTGTGAACTTAATAGACACTGACAGGAGGTCATATGTTCCAGTTGACATCACAGTATGTCATCTTTCTGACAGGACTCAACAGCATTTCTCAGCACTGTTAATGAGCTGGGGCAGCGTCGAGGGAGCCGCCACCTCTCCCGCTGGTCACCAACATCCGTTTCCCAGCCGCTGTGACTTGTGCTCTGTGATCGCCTGTGACACTGTTTAGCGTTCATGAAATTCTTATAGGCAATAAATATGCATTTTCCCCCCTAATGTTGCAGACGAGCGGCACGCTGACATGAAGACATGAACAGATGTTATTCCTGTAAGAATAACCTCTCCCCACCTCTCTCTTTGTACCAGGTCCCCTGAATCTCATTTCTCTGTTGGGCTCCCTTCTGTTCCATTTGCTTTCTGTATTTTACTTTCCTTGCATTTCTACAACCATGTAAAAATGTTATCAAGAATGTTTGCTTAAAACTTCACACTCCTTTTAGGTGTTTCTGTTGTACAGTAGTTGGAGATCATCCCTTTAGTCTACATAGCAAAAACAGAACTCGCTTTTCCATGTGTATGGAAGAATACTGTACTTTGTGTTCAGAAATGGTTTTTGTACATATACAAGGGCTAATCACAGCTGTAATTTCAGTTAGGACCAAAAAAACGTTTGATCACAAAATGGTAACATAATTATGTAAATCATAAATAAATATAATTAGAAATCTGATTGGATTTCCAGTGCCGGCCTTCACTCCTCGATACTGTGTACTTTGAGGATAAAAAGTATTACGTTTTGATTCCACACCCTATATTCCTGTAGCATAATTAAGCCAAGTCGGTGGTTTGTCTTGTTTTCTTCAGGTTTTGTCCTGAAACCTCAAGACGAGCTACTTGTTGAAGTCTCCTGCCGAGATTCCTATTTGAGGCTCTGCAGTGTCGCTGCAGTGAGAGATGGGCATGAAATCCGTCTGGACAAGCGTGTGGACTTGCACTTCTCTGGAAACCCCATTTCAAACCCAAACCCAGAGGCAGAGCTTTGCAGTGCATTAGCATGTCTTCAGACTAAAGACTTCTGCATGCTGGAATGCTCAGAAATGGCGCTCGTGAATAATCAGGACTACCATTGGAGTTTTTGCAGCGCGTTGGTCAAACTAATCTCCCAGCTGAAGGTCAGGTGCCGAAACCAAGAGCAAGGACCAGGTGTTCAGTCTGACCTCGCTGACCCTCCTAACCCAACGGACTGTAGTAACCTGCTGTATGTGCTGGATGTGTCCGAAGGCTTCTCCCTGCTCTCCCTCATCGCTGCCAGCCAGGGGCATGTAAAAGCCTACAGCTCTGTGGAGAAGCACAAGCAACAGGAGGTGCTAAAGAGAATGGCTCGCTCCAATAACATCTCAGAGCAGCACCTAGAATTCTGGCTCAACCACATGGAGGACGAGCAGGGGATGCTGCAGAGACCGTCCAGGGAGAAACTGTGGAGCGCCATCATCCTGGACTGTGTAGAGACCTGCGGCCTGATACGACAGAAATTGATGGAGAAAGCTTCCCTGGCCAGGTACGTGGAAGTGGTAGTGTCTGGAAAACCAGCCGAGGGCATGCAGGAATGTATAATGACTTTTGTTCATTTTGTTTTGTATTTTTGAGTATCATGTTGGTGTACATTTATTTATTTGAGTGTCAAATTACTAAAAATATATTTCTCTGATTTGCACTAGGTGTCTGCTGGAAGAGGGAGGACGTATTTTCCCAGAACGGATCGTGGTGTACGGTATGCTGGTGGAGTCAGACACGTTGCTCCTTGAAAGTGCTGTCCAGGGACAGGAGCCAACACTGGGATTCAATATCGCTCCCTTCATCAACCAGTTCACTGTAAGTATACCAAAATCAGCTAGCACGTATTGAGGTTACCTTACTAATGGTATTTGCTTTGCATGTAAACATTTTAACGGTCACTGCAGGGTTTGCTGTGGGCTGGAACAACAAAGCTCACCAGATCACATCTTGTGCTGGCTTCTCTGTATTTTCACAGAAGAAAGGTCACATCTTGTTCTGCCATAATTTATCACTATATGTTAACTGCTCCAGTTTGGTCAGCGTAAACTAACCCCTGCATTCACAGTGATGCCCCTGCTGTTGTCTGAGTAGAGTCCAACTAATCAATCAGTGCCAAGTTTGGATGGATGGCAGTTTATCACATTATACTGGTTTATAATGGATATAACATTATAAGTAACAACACATTTCACCACAGAAAGACAATTAAGAAATGAAGTGTTGCCGTTATAAAGTCAACTGGGGACCATAGTCATTTTAAATTTTTAAATTTAATTAAGTCCGGTATGATTAACTGAATATCACATTGAAACACACCAAAAACATCTTGTCAAGCTGAAACTTCTTCACAAGTTACAAATGTTGTGAACTGTTTCTTCTGTGCATCTTAGGCCAGTGATATCCTGTATTCTGTCTCATGCTCCTGATGCAACGCTCAGTACTGACAGCTTTTATATGCAGTTTGTTGTGTTTGGAAACTTGCATCATTTGTCCATTTTGTGTTGCCCTGGGGTTTTGATACATATGATTGACATACTGTATTGTGCAATACTATAAAAGTACTTGCCTAAGATAATCAGGCAGAGTGTATGTCCAGTTGTTTAGTTTTCTACCGTGCACGGTTTGTCTTTTGGCAAACGAGGTATTTCACTTGGAACACTGAGTGTTGTGCAGCCCACTTTGATGTGGGCTGCCTGGCTGCGTGAAAGAAGCTGCATAATGCCTTTGAATTCTTTTTCTTTATTTGGTCTGGAAATTGTCTTTTTTTTTTTTTCCCTCCCAGCATCATGTTTTGATTTTACAGGCCCCTGATGGGATGGCCATTAGTTTTAACAGATGTTGTCTTTGAAGCCCTCCGCTGAGGGCACAACTTCTAGCACAACTGTCGCGCAAGACACAGCACACAGTTTGGCCCAACACATTCCTACCTGAATCCATCAGTACGCATTACATCAAGCACATCAGACAGAGGGCTCCGAGGTCTCCACAGCTGTGACAGGGAGGAGGAAAGATTCTTTTGTTGTGCCCTAAAGGAAACAATGGCGCTTTCTGTGCTGCCACTTTGGTTTCTCCCTCAGCTTTTATGTCTCCTGCCCTGTAGTCATGGCCTGTTTATCAAGTTTGGAAGAGTTTGAGATGGAAAATTGGTTTTAATCAGTGATTGAGTGATTATCCACTGACACTATGAGTTAAAACCTAATGCGGATAAATGCTGTTTTGTGAGGAAGACTGCCAACATCAACTGCGAGTCAGCTTCTTCATGATTTTGAATGTTTTTCTGTCTATTTTAAGCCTGAACCCTTTTTTGAAGCTTTGTTAAAAATCTGTAGCATGAGATTTTTTTAAGAGTACAGTACATGATGTGTACAGCGATATGTAGTTAACCTCCATACAAAAGACAAGACACGCTGCTTAGTCAAAGAACAGGAAAGTAGAAAAGAAAAAAGTGAACTTTTTTATCATGCAGCCATGGTTGTAAAGTATTTTTTAACTTGTGCACTTCAACGAAGCAGGGGCTCTTCACCTTTTCAGGGGAAAATCCATTTCCTCTGTTGTGAACACTGTTTAACAACCCGCACCTGTTTTGTGTTACGTCGCTGTCAGATCCGAGTCGTACTTCCACCCTGGTCTGTTATATACTACGCACCTCCTTCTGTATAATGTCAGCAGGCAGTCCTTTAGTTTGTCTGTTGCACACAACGTAGTATAATTGTGTTACTTCTTTATGTCCTACAGGTACCAGTCCATGTGTTTCTGGATTTTTCCACACTGGAATGCAGTCATCTCAGCGAGTCTGTGGAGCTGTTTGTCCTCGACCTAATGGATGCCAACGTAAACTACACTACTAGAGATGTCAAGGTAAGGCATAGTGCAGCCAACATGACTGGAATTAATATAATACAATCAGCTGTTAGCGACTGCTGAAACTTGAGTTCATGCATTGGTTCTGGCAATATAGTTCAGAAGTCCTTGGGATACCCTCTGCTACATGAACGGTCTATACCAAGAAATGCTATGATACTGTAAATGCCCTGAGATGATTTTTGTTGTGAATTGGCACTAAACAGAAAAAAAAAACTGAATTAAAGTGAAAATATTTTTGGCCACTCATCTCCACAAAATTCTGCTAACATTGATCCAGCAATCAAACATTAGGTTGGATGCAAATGAAACCCAGGGATTTATATTATTTCCCCAAAGCTCATAATGGTAAAATGAAGTATCTTGTTAAGCCGTGATCCCTGTGTCCCAGGTCCAGGCCACGTCTGCAGGCAGAATAACTGCAATTCCCTTCTGGTACCACATCTATCTGGACCAGGAGATCAGTGTCAGCACCCTCAGCCAGAACTCGCACTGGAAGCAGGCGGCTGTAGTGCTGCAGCAGCCCCTGGAGGTACGGGCCGGAGACTGGGTCTGCCTCGCAGTGAAGCTTCACAAGAGCATCATCTCCATATCAGCCCATGTAGACAATGCCTCTGGGCCAATGGAGTACTAGTCTCTTACATTCTAGCTTTGGAAC